TCGTCCGAGCACGGCGTGAGCTTTCACTGCGAGCGGGGGTGCGATCATGAACTGCGTGCGCTTCGCGCTGAATGACCGCTGGAAGCTTCAGATGCCCGCCCGAGAACCGCTGCCGCCCTCTCGAAGGGAATCTTGGATGCTGCCCTGGCCCCCAGCCCGGAGGTGCCAGTCCTGCGCGTGGACGTCAGGCGCAATGACTCTTGGCAGATGCAACAACGCCTCTTCGGCCTCGTGCAAAACCTATGCATGAATATTTGCCGCGCGCCCGCAGACGCTATTTCTTCGACCCGTTCAAATGGCCCCCCAAGCGCGACGGGCGTCAGCGGTGGCCACCCCGACAGGCGCGCACTCCTTGTCGTCCTAGCTCAGCCGCCTTAACCGTTTTTTGTCCGCTCCATGACACGCGCGATCTCTCGCTGCGACCCGCGGCGCCTGCCGCCCTCGCCCCCTCGCCCGCCGCGCAGCCCTGAGCACGCAGTTCACCCGTGCTGGCCACGCTAGCAAGGAGATCTCCTCGCGCATCAAGGCTGGGTGGGCAAAATTTCATCAGCTGTGGCCGCTTCTGAACCCAAGGCGCGGCCTGTTGAGAAAGCGCCTTCGGCTGTTCGATGCCTACGTATCGAAGAGCGTCCTCTGGTGTTGCGAATCGTGGTTGCCTACCGAGGAGGAGAAAAGACGCCTGCAGTCAACTCAGAACGATATGCTTCGAAGAATTGTGGGCATCAAACGCCGGCCTCATGAGCAGCGGGTTTCTTGGATTATTCGCGCCGCGCACGTTGCGCGCGATGCTGCTAGTAAATGCGGGGTGCAATTTTGGGTACGCACGTCCTTAGCTACAAAATGGCGATGGGCGGGGCACATTGCGAGAATGCCCGCAGACAGATGGTACAAAAGGGCAGTGGAGTGGTGCGCCACGCGAAGCTTGGCGGGAGGGAGGCCACGGAGACCGTGGCGCACACGCTGGTTCCGCTGGGAGGACGATTTGCGAGAATATTCGCTGTTCTGGAAGGGCGAGGCCCAGAACAGGGACAGGTGGAAGCAGCGCGCATCATCATTTACCGCACGCCGTCAGCTACACGGTCGCGATTAATAAGGCGGTTTCAAGAAGGTGGTTCAAGAATAATGGTTTCTTTTAAGAAGGTGGTTGAAGAAGGTGGTTTAAGAAAGGATGGGGGGGGGGCCGGGAAGGCGGGCGCTCTCCCACGCGCCACGGCGCACTTTTCCCCAGCCCCCCGCGGGGGCCGCGCCGCGTTCGGGGATCCGTATCCGTATCCGTATCTGCTTCCCGACGTGGCGCTGGGCGCCCTGATTGGCAGCCCCTTGCGGGCCCTGTCTATTGCGAAGCTCTCCCCCGCCCCCCGACCGCCGTGCAAAATCCGCAAGAGATGCTCCTCCCAGGCGCCAGCGCTGCCGATCTTCCTCGCTGGCGCGGATGACGACCACTCCAGCGCCGGCGCCCGATCTGTCGCTTTCTCCACCACGCTGCGCTGGCCAACTCGCCGTTCGCAAACCCGTCTCTCCACTTTCGCGCGGTGGAAGCCGTCGTCCCTCCCCCCGAGACGACCTGCGGGCTGCCCTCCGCTAGCCCTGGCCCGCCTCCTTCTTGTGCTCCGGGCGCTGCGGCCGAGCCCTCGCCAGCGCCGCGCCGCCTCGATCCCCCCCCCGCCCGCGCATTCCCGCGACCGTCTTCGCCCCGCGCGGCGTCGCTCCGGCCGTCGCCCCCCGACCCTGGGCTTCTTCGGCCTTCGTCGCGGCGTTCGCCCTCTTGTCCTCGCGCCCCATGGGCGCGCCGTCGGCGCGCGTCCTGCGACTCGCGGCCGCGTCGTTCATCCTCGGGTCCAACTCCTCGTCGCCGCGCAGCTCGTCGCCGTGCGTCGCGAGGTCTTCTTCCGCCGTCAACGCTGCCTGGTGCCTATCGCTGACGGCCGCTGATTGCTCGCCCTCGCCGCGCGGAAAAGCTGCCAACTCCGCGCGCCGGTGCTGCGAGAATTCGCGCTGCGACATTGGCGCCGGGTCGGGCGCCCCCGACTCGCCCGCGGGGCGTGTGCCGTCGTGCAAATTCACGGGGCTAATCGGGGCGATTCGCGCCTTCCTCGACGCATTCCCCCGGCTTCTTCCCGGCGCTGCCGCTGGCGCGCCTTCTCCGTCCAGAGATAGCCAATCGGCCATGCTCGCAACTACTGACCCAAGCATCGTGGCTGTCCTCGCGGTCTTGGTGCTCTCGGCGGCGGCGACGTCTCCGGGGCCCCTATTCGGGCGCAAATTCGCGCTCCCCTGCGCCGGGCGCGCCGCCCCTCTCCCGTGCGTGTAGCTGAGAAGTCTCTTCATGTGCATTTTCGCTCGATGCGCTGCAGTCCCGTGCTCCGCCTGTTGTTCCGCAAGCGCGTGATGCCCTTGTCTGATCTCCCTCGATGCGTGGGGCGACGGGGCACGCCGCTTGCACTGGCAGCGTGCGGCAATCCCGCCGCTGCATTCTGCGTTCGCACCGCTGCAAATACCGCGTCCACGGCCTCATCCGTCCCCCATCAACGTTGTCGCGCATGCAACTGTCGTGCGTCGACTCCGTAACCGGGATCCTATGCGGGATTTGCAAGTCGTCCTTGAAGTTCAACCCCGCCGCTCCGCTCAACATCGCAGGCAAGGTGCCCTTCGTATTCTCCTTATTCATAGGCCCGTGCGGGCGCGCACTTATGTTCCTCCTGCCTGCGCGGGGCATGTCGCGAGCTTCAGACTGCCATGGCTCGGCGCCACCGCTCGATCAATCAGCCGCGACGTGCGCGGACAAGAACTATTGCTGTGCATTCTGTCGTTTTTCTTCTGGCAGTGTGCCAACGGTGCAAGTCGCTGCAGCCGCTTGCTCCACTTGTGCACGTGGTCCTGTCGATGCTCCTGGCCCGTTTGCACCTGGGCACCTTCGTGCTCTTGCAGCCGCGTGCGGCCCTCCTCGGCGACGTGCTCCCCGCCTTTTCGCTCGTTCGGCGCTTTCGCCGGCCTGCTCCTGCAGCGTTGTTCCGTGATCACCCCTCCCTCCTCTTCGCCCGACGGCTCGCACAGCTGCGTGAGTACTCTGGCGGCGTCACCAAATCCGCCGTCCCATGGTCTGCGGGCCATGCCTTCTCAACATCCGTTTTCCTACTTTTCCATGCCTCCACATCAGCGTATTCCTGAGGACACACGCTCCGCTTGTACCTCCTTGGTGCCTCCGCCAGTTCCGCCAAATCGCTTGTGCATAGGTGCGTGCGCAAGCTCGTGCAACGGAGTGCGCTGGTGCAGGAACTGAATGAACACTTGCACATGCAAGTGTAAGCTTCCATGCGGCCATACACCCCGTCCCCGCGACCCAGACACCCCCCGCTGCCGTCGCGCTACGTCCCAACAAGTCCGCGCACTCGCAATCTGGGCAATCAGGACACGTCGGACAATGTCGCATGCCCACACTGTATTCAAACACGAGGCACGCGACGACCCGACATCCATCGACGCCTGGCAGCGGGTCTCGAGCGAGAGCCGCTCTCCGCTCGTCCGATGTGGGAACTGCATGTGCCAACAACGCTACTGGCACGGCCATGTCCACGCGGTCCTCGTGCACCACCGTGTGTGTGTGTGTGTGTGTGTGTGTCCGATTCGCCCCGCGCCGCCCCCCCGATCCAACACATCGACACGTTGCCTGCTGGTGCTTCTTGTGTGTGTGTGTGTGTGTGTGTGTGTGTGTGTGCGTACCCTAACGGTGGTTCCCACACCCCTCTGCGCGTCGGACCATGGCGCTCTCGTGCCGCACGACGATTGACGGGGTCCTGTCTCCGCGACCGCGACATCCGCGCCATTCAATAGCCCACGAGACCCCCCAAACTGCCCCAACAGCGTCGAAGATTAGCCTAACAGGGCCCAGGAGGCGAGCTCGATAGCCACAAGGGGGTAAGAAAATCGAGGACCCCCCTCTTTGACCGATACCCTCCAAGATGGCCGAAAAATGCTTCCCGGGGCTTCCAAAAGGGCCCCACGAGGGCTCCAAACGTTCCCAAGAGCGTCCCACGAGGGCCCCAAGAGGCGGTTTGCCTCCTCCTCCTCCTCCTCCTCCTCCTCCTCCTCCTCCTCCTCCTCCTCCTCCTCCCCCCCGCCCCAGGGATGGCCCGAAGCTGCCTTCCAAAACCACCCTCGTGCTCCCAGAGATCTCTGTCCATCATGGTTGCCCAGTCTGTTTCACTATATGAATACCTTCACCCCCTTTCCCATCAACTCTCATGGCCGGGGTTTCTGAACGGGCTGGTGGGGATACTTTTGTCCGCGAGCGATACGGAACAACCCCACGCCGTCAAAGAGCGAAGCAACAACGCGACGATCTAAATTAGGCTGGTGGGGATACGCGAAGCGTGGATAATATCCTGGAGCGTGGTCCATCCTGGACGGTCCTGCTTCCGACGGCGTAAGACGGGCCAGGGGCCCACAAAAACGGCCAAAGAGGCCTCCGAGAAGACCCCAAAGGACCCCAAGAGGCCCAAGGAGGCCCCCAAGATGCCTCCAATCCAAGAGGCTCCCAGGAAACTCCCAGGAGGCCCCAGGAGTGTCCCCATAGGCTCCCAAGATGCCCCCTCCTCCTCCTCCTCCTCTCTTCCTCCTCCTCCTCCTCCTTCTCCGCCGCCTCCTCCTCCTTCACCACTTCCTCCTCCTGATCTTCCTGTCATCCTCCCCCAAGTGTTCCCCGAAGGGTTTCCACAACGGTTGGGGGAACACATGGTCCGATAGCTTGGCGGAGCTCTTGCCACAACGCTCGGCCACATGGGCGACTCTACACAGCAGGGGGCGGCGGTGATTCGCCGTAATCGTCTTCGAGATTGTTCGGTGTGCATCGGTACGACGGTGACCGTGAGGGTATAGGTAGATAGATGGATTGACTTCTGTGGCTGTAGAGAATGTGCTGCGCCAAAGGCGTCGGCGGATGTGGCGTAAGCCTATGGAATCAACTTGTGTTGTGTTTGTGCCAATTTTTCCCTGCTGAGATCCGGCACTCCGTCCAGGCCGAAGCTCCTGGTGCCGTGGGCGTCGGCGCTGACGAAGACGGGGGAGACGATGGACGCGAGGGACTCCACGGACTCGGAGCCCTCCTCGACCTTCTTCAGGGTGGGCGGCTCGTAGCTCCCCACGTAGTCCACGGGCTTCTTGGGGCCAGCTCCAACCACGGACTTCCGGATCAACTTGGCCAGATCGATCCTGGAAAGCATCGTTTATCCGATCCCAGTCCCCACGAGCATGGCACTGGCCCCACTGGCCGACTTACCCCGCAGGTGAGGTGTGGATATACGTAGGCTGTTTCCTTCCCATTCCGTGGCTATTTCTCTGGCCCGCATCGCGTATCCAGGATCTTTTGGTGCCACAGCGGGGCTTCCCTCCGTATCTAGCGTTCCATATTTCAACAATTTGACTGTAGGTTATTGGGGGAATCAAGAGGTACCGATACCGCTACTCCCAAGACCTCTCCTGGGGTGCGTCCTGACCGTAATTTCGAAGCGAATCCAGCGGTGGCGACGAGGGCCTCCCAGGAGGCGCTACAGGAACAAAAACGAAGGAAGGGTAGCGGTATGGATACCTTTTCTTCCCTGAGGTTCGTCGATGCTGACCTGGTGTCCAGCAGCGCCGCATGGCCCACGCCCGGCAGCCGCACCAGCTCGGCGCGGCCATCGCAGCGCGGCAGCAGCAGCGGCAGGAGGCGCTCGCCCTCGGCCCTCGAGGGCACGAGGAGGTCGTCCTGCGAGCAGATGAGCGCGGTGGGCGGCAGCGTCCCCTTGCGCGAGGCCCTGGTTCGCAGGTCGCCCTCCACACTCTCGCATCTGAGCATCGTTTCACGGATCCCTAACCCCCACCGGCGTGGCCTGGGCCCCCACTGGCCGGTCTGCTCCCCCCTGGATGGGGATCTGGGCGGTTCCCTTCGGGCTTCGAGGGTCATGTACACAACTGGGGTGGTGGGATGGGGAGGCGGCCCCCTCCTCCTCCTCCTCCTCCTCCTCCGCCTCCTCCTCCTCCTCCTCCTCCGCCTCCTCCTCCTCCTCCTCCTCCTCCTCCTCCTCCTCCTCCTCCTCCTCCTCCTCCTCCTCCTCCTCCTCCTCCTCCCTCCTCCTCCTCCTCCTCCTCCTCCTCCTCCTCCTCCTCCTGCTCCTCCTCCTCCTTCTGCTCCTCCTCCTGGGGTGGGGATGGGGACAGGGACCGGTTAAACGATACTGAGCACCCGTCTCTCAGCCAAGAGCGCAGCCGGAAGCGCACCGCGGCGGGCGGCAGCAAGCGGGCGAGCTCCTGCTCGGACCCGCGCCAGCCGTGCACCAGACCCGTCCGAGGCACGCTGCCGCGCATGCCAGCCCGCGCGGAGGCATGCGTCGAACCGGTCTCAACGGCAGCTCAACAGCGCGGAGGGCGAGTCCCAATTTCTCCTCCCCCCCTTGTCCTCCTTGTCCTCCTTGTCCTCCTTGTCCTCCTCCTCCTCCTCCTCCTCCTCCTCCTCCTCCTCCTCCCTCCTCCTCCTCCCCCTCCCTTCAGGCATCCTGCTACACTACGGCTGAGACAACGGCAGCTCAGAATCGGTCCTTGGACCCCTCCATGGGTCCAAGGACCGATTCTGAGGCGACGAGGACCCCCCGAAGGCCAACTGCAGTTGTCTCGCCTCGCCCTCCACTGATGCATGGTTGGCGTCGTCCGATCTTGGGGCGGTTTTCGGGTCATAACTCGGGCCTCTGGAGGCCGTTCGGGACGATTCGGGCACCCCTTTAACTTTGGACGCCCGAAATGGGTACCGAAAGAATGGGTACTATGCCCAACAGCAAATGTTGTCCCAAACCAACAGCGGCCGCTGTTGGGCGGGCGGCCTCCTGTCTCGAATGGACACAAGCCGCGGCGGCGTGGACAGCGGATCTGGTTCAAAATGAACAAGATCCGCTGTTGGGCATAGTACCCATTCTTTCAGTACCCATTTCGGGCGTCCAGATTAACGCTCTCGGCGGAGGCGCAGCTGATGGAATGCATTTTGGTGTTCGGGAGCCGCCGAGAACAGACGAACACGCCCGAAAACCTCGAACCCCGAAACTTCGCTCCAGTCCTGCGGGAACGTCAGGAAGTCCCTCAGGAACGCACTCGGCCCCGAGCCCGGAGCCACCTGCTCGTCAAGCACGGCGGAGGCCGCCGCCGAGGCGAGCCTGCCAGCCTGGGCGGCGTCCAGCGCCGTGCCTAGCAGCGCGCTGCTACCCATGTACGCGTAGGGCTGGCTCACGGCCTTCGCCTGGACCTGCTCCAGCCTTAGCCGCCCCGATGCGCAGCACGCAACCGTCGTCGTCGACGTCGTCGTCGTCGTCCTCGTCCTCATCCTCATCCTCGCCCTCGTCCTCGTCGTCGTCCTCGTCCTCGTCCTCGTCCTCGTCGTCGTCGTCGTCGTCGTCGTCGTCGTCGTCGTCGTCGTCGTCGTCGTCGGTGGTGACGCCGCTGCCGTCTTCCTCGGCCACGCCGACGACGTCGTCGCCCCGATACGCAACACGCAACACGTAGCGTGCTGACAGGGAGCAAAACGCGTAGACTAAGACCGTAGTTCTGGCGCGACACGTTCGCCAGAACGTGGGCCAGCAAGTGCCGAGCCAGCACGCAGCGTGTTGGTACGGACGTTTTGAACACGGCGCGTATCGGGGCAGCTGAGGCTCCAGCAGCTGCGCGAGGCTCTCCGCGGGAGCGGAGGGCGGGGGCTGCTCGGCAGGGCTTTGGGGGCTGCGCGCACACGGGCCCCTCGAGGCAGTCCTGGCCGGCCTCGCCAGGCCGCCAGGGCAAGGTCAGCGCGGGGCGCCAGGGAGGGCCCTCCTGTTGGTGTGGCCCCCCCGCCCGCTCAAGACTCAAAGACGCCCCCCCTCCGCAGCTCGGGGAGGCATCGTGGACGCTCTCGCTGGGCTGTGGGCCTCCTGGTAGTGGTGGTGCTGCTCCGCCTCTCCCCGGCGACTCGCAGGAATGACCCTGGGCAAACGAGGGACCTTTGTGGTGCGCGGCTGCAGGGGGGCCGGGAGGGGGGGCCAGACCCAGGCTCGGAAGCCGCTGCCATGGCACCGCCTTCGGCGCCCGTGGGACCCCGGTGGGCGCACCAAAGGCCACTCTGACGAGGGGCCACTCTTTACGCGAAGCCGGCCTCCTTCCTCTGACAGGGGTAGTTCAGGGCAGATGATCCACATCCCGGCCCAGGAGCTCGGAGAGACCTCCGGAGGGGCGCTGCGGGAGGCGGCGCCGGGTGCCGAGGCCGCCCCCCAGGCCCTGACGCGCGGCGTCGAACACCTGTTCTCCTGCTCTGTGCGTGCCCCCCGAGACCTCTCGACTCCTGTCCGGGGCAGTCTCTCCAGAAGTCGTCGGCACCGCTGCAGCGCGCTGGTTTGGTCGCTGCGTCGTCCCGTCAAGACCGCCACGGCGGCCGCTGCTCAAAATCGCCCCAGACAGCTACTTCTGGGGTGCTAGAATCCAGGCTTGTCGATTTTCGAGCTCGCGCGGCCCAAGGAGCGGCGACGGCTGAGGCGGTGCTCGGCGACGGCTGTGGAGGTGTTTGACGACGGCTGGGGTGCACTTTGAAGATCCCGGGGCCTGAAACATGCTCCCTGGACCCTGAACATCTGGAACAAACAAAAGGACTGTGATATTTTTCCCAACCATTCTGTTGTCTTGAGTCCTCGTACGCATCGCCTAGCAATCCTCACTCTTCCTCCTCCCGCTCCTCCCTGCAGCCACCCTTGCCTATGCCCTCCGTAGTCTCGGCTTCGGCACACCCCTCACGCGATTCGCTGCTCCATAGGTAGCTCCACCTAAGGCATCAGTGGCACAGTTCGCATGCGTCCTCGCACCCATTTCGGCACACCCCTCACACACTTCGCAGCCCAATGGGGAGCTCCACCTAAGGCCAGTGGCACAATTCGCATGCGTCCCCACCAGATTCGGCACAACCCTCACACGTTTCGTGCCCCCAAAGGCAGCCCCCCCAAAGGCCCCAGTGGCACAATCCGCATGCGTCTCCTCGCCAGTTTCGGCACACGCCTCACGCGCTGCGTGGCCCCACAATAAGCTCCATCCAAAACCCCGCTGGCACAACCCGCATGCGTCCTCCCGCCCATTCCGGCACAACCCTCGCGCGCTTCGTGGCCTCATAGGGAGCTCCACCTGAGGCCCCAGTGGCAAAGTCCGCATGCGCCCCCCCCGCCTATTTCGGCACACCCATCTCACGTTTCGTGGCCCCCCGGGGGCTTCCCCCTCCCTCGTCCCACCGGCCTTGCGGTACTCACACTTGGATATGGTTGGGTCCTTCACAAGACGATTTGGTTCAGCTTCGTGGAGGTATGGGCGCTGTCCTGGGGGCCTGCTCGGGCCACGGCCCCACAAAAACAATTACCCTGTGACGTACCCAACCCATTTGAATCAATGGAAACGAGGAGTTGGCCGAAACTTGCATGGACAATCAACTTGATGTGTAAGCTACTTGGGACACGCGCCTCTGGCATGATGCGCAGGAGAACCATGCAAGAACGAGGGGCGACAGCTACAGGCTCGAAGAGGACATGGGGAGTCGGGAACGCAGAGCAGGAGAAAAACGTGCGGGAAGCCGAACCATCAGCACGGCAGCAGCAGAGGGAAGGTGACTGCAGGAGGAGAACAAGGACGAAAGCGGCGTCTAATTTGAGTCTGCGGTGGGTACCCACTGTGCTGGCCCCTCAGCAGCCCTCGAAAGTGGCGACAGTTTCACAGATCGCAGCCCCCCAGGGATGGCGAGGTCTAATTTGAGTCTGCGTGGGTACCCACTGTGCTGTGCCCCTCAGCAGCCCTCGAAAGTGGCGACAGTTTCACAGATCGCAGCCCCCCAGGGATGGCGAGGTCTAATTTGAGTCTGCGGTGGGTACCCACTGTGCTGTGCCCCTCAGCAGCCCTCGAAAGTGGCGACAGTTTCACAGATCGCAGCCCCCCAGGGATGGCGAGGTCTAATTTGAGTCTGTGTACCCACTGTGCTGGGCCCCCCAGCAGGCCTCGAAAGTGGCGACAGTTTCACAGATCGCAGCCCCCCAGGGATGGCGAGGTCTAATTTGAATCTGCCCGTGGTACCCACTGTGCTGGGCCCCCCAGCAGGCCTCGAAAGTGGCGACAGTTTCACAGATCGCAGCCCCCCAGGGATGGCGAGGTCTAATTTGAATCCGCGCGTGGCCCCACTGTGCTGGGCCCCCCAGCAGGCCTCGAAAGTGGCGACAGTTTCACAGATCGCAGCCCCCCAGGGATGGCGAGGTCTAATTTGAATCCGCCGTGGTCACTGTGCTGGGCCCCCCAGCAGGCCTCGAAAGTGGCGACAGTTTCACAGATCGCAGCCCCCCAGGGATGGCGAGGTCTAATTGAACGCTCACCCAGCTGGATGGCGAGGTGAGGTACCCACTGTGCGCCCCCCAGCAGGCCTGAAAGTGGCGACAGTTTCACAGATCGCAGCCCCCCAGGGATGGCGAGGTCTAATTTGAGTCCGCGGTGGGTACCCACTGTGCTGGGCCCCCCAGCAGGCCTCGAAAGTGGCGACAGTTTCACAGATCGCAGCCCCCCAGGGATGGCGAGGTCTAATTTGAGTCTGCGGTGGGTACCCACTGTGCTGGGCCCCCCAGCAGGCCTCGAAAGTGGCGACAGTTTCACAGATCGCAGCCCCCCAGGGATGGCGAGGTCTAATTTGAGTCCGCGGTGGGTACCCACTGTGCTGGGCCCCCCAGCAGGCCTCGAAAGTGGCGACAGTTTCACAGATCGCAGCCCCCCAGGGATGGCGAGGTCAAAGGCAGGGGGGAAGAGAGGGACGGGAAGGAAGGAAGGAGACGCGCGAGCAGTGCTCTATTCAAAACGAGAACCCAACGCAGGAGGGTTGGGAATAACTTTGATAACAAAACCAAGGCGCTGGCGCACCCGAAACACCGCGGCCGTGGGTCCAAACATCCCCCATTCTCAGTGCCCTCCTGGTGGATCTGGCAAAGTCCTGCTTGTCGGAAGCGTCCAATGGGGGCTTCCAAGAGGGGGTTCGCAAATCATGTAAATCATGGGCGGTGGGGGGGGGGAGGGGCAGGGACGCAATGAAATCATGAACCGGGCGCCATGAATCCCAAGGATACATCACGCCCCTGGCCATGACAGCCCCCCCCCTGGTTATCGCCCCCCCCTCTTGGTCGCCCCCGAGGTCTGCAACGCCCTGGTCTCTGGGGCCCTGCGGGGGCTGGCCAAGGCCGCCTCCCGGGACACCGCCCGCGAGCAACCCGCAAAACCTGCCCAGGAGGATGCTCGCCCTCGGGGATCGCCAGGACCGCCCGGCACAGCAATGGCCACCCGCTCCGGTTGATCGACGTCGCGGGGTTGACCTTTGCAGGGGGCAGCATGCGGTCGGGAACTTCTGCGGAGCGTTGCGGCGGCGGCCCGGGCGACACACTGTGCCCCGCGAGCGGGTAGCGGATCGCCCCGGTCCGCGTGGCGGGAGGCAAGGAAAATATCGGGACGTTGACGCTCTGGGTCTGCGAAGTGTTTAACGTGACGCGCTGAACCAAAGTTCCTGACCGTATACACCACTACAACCAAGACGCTGAAATAAGGAACAAGTCAAGTTCGGAAAGGGCTCGCTGGTTCTCAAGTCTTTCCGTGGTTGTTCCTCGCGCGTTCCTTGTGTTCTCAAGCGGTTTTGGCGCCAAGAAGGACTTCGTCCTTAACTCAGTGTCCCTTTATGATAAAATCTTGACCCTACAAAACCCATCCAGGCCCACATTCAGGCCAGATCTCGGTGCACATCAGCTTTCGGCCGCGCTGGAAGGCCATATGCACAAACATGTGGCCCAAAATGGGCCTGAGGTGGCCTGGCGACCTAGGTACATGTATGTTTGCGTACACATTAACAGATAAGTATACGTGTACTATATAGATATATGTTTATACATATATATATGTATACACCGATATGTGCATATACATACATGTCTACACATAAATACGCACACTAGAACCATCGCGCGCGCTTCGCGCGCGCTCAAGTTCTAGCTAGGCTTGATGGGCTAACTCATGTAATATCATATTGGTCGCTTCTTGCGCCCGCGGACTCCCTTGGAGGCCCTGCGCAAGCCCCGGGATCGTATATAAGGGGAAGTGCGGAAACGCAGGGAACATTCATTTCCTTCAGGTGCTCAACGATTTGGAGCCCTCAAAGGCTTCCTGGGTTCTTTTTGGGGAGGCGAGGGGCTTCTAAATTGTGGTCTGTTGTGTAAGAGTAGACCAGGGGTCAAACTTGAAAAAATTAGCCTGGCGAAAGATCCAACCATATGCAGTTGTGAATACCGCAATTGTGAATACCATCTTCGCCCGCGCTCCCTATGTGGCCACGGCTTCCCGCCGGAGCCCGACATGCTCAGGAACACGTTCGTGGCCGTCTTCGCGGGCGCTGACGACGACAAGGACGGCGTCCCTCTGACCGAGGAGCAGAAACAGGAGAGGGCTTTGAGAGCCATGAGGGAGGAGGTGTCGGTGCACGTTGAGAAAGCGGAGTACGACGCCCAGGCGCGGTTGTTGAAGCAGCACAAATATGGGGCCACGATCCTCGTGAGGGGTGTGCCGAAATGGCCCGAGGCCGCCATGCGAACCCTGCCACTGGCGCCTTCGGTGGAGCTCCCTATGGGGCCACGATCCTCGTGAGGGGTGTGCCGAAATGGCCCGAGGCCGCCATGCGAACCCTGCCACTGGGGGCCTTCGGTGGAGCTCCCTATGGGGCCACGATCCTCGTGAGGGGTGTGCCGAAATGGCCCGAGGCCGCCATGCGAACCCTGCCACTGGCGCCTTCGGTGAAGCTCCCTATGGGCCACGAGGGGTGTGCCGAAATCGCCATGCGAAGCTGGCGCCTTCAGTGGGGCCACGATCCTCGTGAAATGGCCCGAGGCCGGGTGCCCGCCTTCGGTGGAGCTCCCTATGGGGCCACGATCCTCGTGAGGGGTGTGCCGAAATGGCCCGAGGCCGCCTTTGCTACTGGCGCCTTCGGTGGAGCTCCTATGGGGCCACGATCCTCGTGAGGGGTGTGCCGAAATGGCCCGAGGCCGCCATGCGCACTTTGCTACTGGCGCCTTCGGTGGAGCTCCTATGGGGCCACGATCCTCGTGAGGGGTGTGCCGAAATGGCCCCGGTGGAGCTCCTATGGGGCCACGATCCTCGTGAGGGGTGTGCCGAAATGGCCCGAGGCCGCCATGCGAACTTTGCTACGGGCGCCTTCGGTGGAGCTCCTATGGGGCCACGATCCTCGTGAGGGGTGTGCCGAAATGGCCCGAGGCCGCCATGCGCACTTTGCTACTGGCGCCTTCGGTGGAGCTCCTATGGGGTCACGATGCTCGTGAGGGGTGTGTCGAAATGGCCCGAGGCCGCCATGCGCACTTTGCTACTGGCGCCTTCGGTGGAGCTCCTATGGGGCCACGATCCTTGTGAGGGTGATGATGATGATGATGATGATGATGATGATGATGATGATGCTGATTATGATTATGATTATGATGATGATGATGATGATGATGCTGATGATGATGATGATGAAGATGATGACGATGATGCGAGGAGGAGGGAGGGGGCAGCGGGAGGAGGAAGGAACGCGGGGCGCTGTCTGTTCAAAAGGAGGACCCAACACCACAGGATGGTTGGGAAAAGGGGAATTGTGGGATTTCCATTTTTTTTCTAGTTCCTCGGTGCTGTTCGGCGCTGTTTTTTGTTTGTGCCTCGCGGGTTTTATTAGCCGGGCCCGTCAGGGGTGTGGGATCTTCCGGACCCCCTGGGGGTTCTGGAGGCCTTCTGGAGGCCTGGAGAGCCGTCGGAAGGGTGTCTCGGGCTGCGCGGGAGCGCGTTGGGCCGTTCTTTACGTTCTGGGGGCTGCTTGGGGTCGTCTTGGGCTGTCCTTCGGCGTTTTGGGGGCCCCCCGGGAAGCTGGGAGTCGCGGTACCAGCCAGATGTCAGGGGATGCGTGGGATCTCCGAGTAGGAGTCCCACTTTGAACAAAAAGAAAAGGAATTCCAGGAATTCCTTTTTTTCTCTTTCAAAATCCTCGATCTTTGAAGGTTGGAAGCGGGAAAACGTGAGAAGGCGAAAAGCATTGGAAACACCATGGGAAATCAATGATTTTACCCTCCTTGGACTCTCTCGGGACGGCTCTCGCAGCTCTCTTGGGCTGTTCTTGGAGCCTCGTCGGGGTCTTTTTGGGGCCTCCCAGGGATCGGGGGTGTGTTGGGGGCCTTTGGCCTCTTGGGAGCTTCTTGGGGGCTTCTAGGGGATTCCTGGGGCCTATTGGGGCCGTCTTGGGAACCTCTTGGGGCCTTCTGGGAGCCTCTCGGACCGAGGGCTCGAAATGTCCGGTCGGGTTCCCCGTCTGGGCACGCTCTTGGAGCCGCCTTGGGGGCCTCTTGGGCCTTCTTGGAGGCGCTTGGGGCTGTCTTGGGGTCCTCCTGGGCTGTTTTAGGGCTCTTGGAGGCCCTATAAGCCCCATAGGGCAGCTCTTCCTAATGCCCCTCGCACGCTTCGTGGCCCCATAGGCCGCTCTTCCTAATGCCCCAATTGCTGCGGCCGCATAACTTCCCGCCACCTGGCACACCCCTCACACGTCTCGTGGCCCCATAGGGAGCTCCACCTAAGGCTCCAGCGGCACTCCGTAGCCAGTTTGGCTCAAGCCATTTTGGCTCGAGTCGCTCCCCCTCTGCCGCGCTCGTCTTGGGCCCCGCGGGAGGTCGCTGAGTTTCGACAGCTGTCCCGCGACCACGGCTCCCTGGACCCCCAGCCCGACGTGCAGCTCCTCGGCGAGATCACGGCGCGGCTGGCGATGGCAGTCCCCATGCTCTTAGAGGTGCTCGCGGGACCGCAGCGCGCGCAGTCCCCCACCTCCGACCCCCCTCCGCCCGCGTCGGAGGTGCCGAGGGAGCGCAGCACGGCGACGCGGCGCTGGCGGCAGCCGACAGCTTCACCCAGGACGTCTCCCTGGGCACGCCCTCCGTCGGCGTGCCAGGCGCAGAGGCGGACACTGGTGCGAGCGCAGCTGCTGCCGCACCCGCGCACGACCAGAGCGACGAGCAGTCAGGCGGAGGCGGACGCAGGAGAGCTGTGGCCCCGCCGCCCTTGCTTCGCTCTCGGCGCAACGCGGGGCTCCATTGCGCCGCGAGGAGGGCCGCGAACATCATCGCGATGCGGCAGGCCTCCCTCAACCGGCTGCAGCGGGCGGCCCAGGCGCCCGGCCGCCGCCGCAGCACTAGGCGGGCCGTCCTCACTCCGCCTCGGCCGCACCGCCGCCAGGCCTCGGTTCGCACGGCAGCCGAGGCGGCTCTTGGCGATTGGACGGTGGCAAGGCGGCGACGCGGAGCAACGGTGCCCGCTGGAGCCACGCTCGCCACGGCTTTGGCTGAGCGCGTCCGACGCGGGGGGCCTCCTTCTGATCCCCCCTTTGGGCACGGCCCCATCTGGTGGACATCTGACTTGGAGTTGGCGGGGAGAGGCATCTCCCCTCCTGCCCATGGCGATGGTCCGCCTGTCAATCAGCAGGAGCGGGAAGTCTCGCAGCACGAGGACTCGGAACACTCGGTGCAGGACGCCGATCCCGTCGCCGAGCCCGACGAGCCGCCCCTCCTCACCAACTTCGGCTCGTTGGCGGCCCACGAGCGGAAGCTCGCGCCGCCCACCTTCTTCGATTTCGTTCCCGACTCCACGGAGCCGGATCTGGGCGGCAGCAACCACAGGCGGTTGCGCGTGCTCCAGCGGCACATGCCGGCGAGCGTTGCGGTCCCTCTCGCTCTTGGCGGGTCTGCGGAGCGCTCGGCAGCCCTCGACCGCCTCTCGCACGCCCAGCCGTGCTACGAGCAGGCTCGGCAACTCTGCTCGGTCGTCCCGATGGTTCTGCACCGTTGTTCTGTTGGATGGCCAAGCAGGGCTCGGCTGAAGCGGACGATCCTCAAGGGCTCGCTTTGTGGCGTCCCCGAACTGCCGGTGGCGCTTCGGCCGATAATTCGCGGTGAGCGCATGTGGGTTGCTGCCTTCTCCTAAGCCACACCGTGGCTGACGACGGCGGCGACGCCTTCGGCGGTGTCTTTCCCGTTCCCGCAAGCGGGCTTTCTTCGAAGGAGTGGCTTCGCGCGGTCTTCGCTTCCCGTTCTTCCCGCTTTTGCGGGAGGCACGGCCTGGCTAATAGCGCGCGCTGTGCTGTCTCAGGTAACGCCGCGCACCTCCGCTCCCAAGGAGTGGCTTCGGCGGTCTTCCCTCGGCTCGAGGGAGGCACGGCCTGGGGGATGGCGCGGGCTGCGTTGTCCCAGGTGACGCCGCACACCTGTCGTGGAGCTCGGTCCTTTCGCTCCCCCCTTCGACTGCG